TAGGGAGATGACATCAAAATTATCCCCTAAATACCAACACATTTTTAATTTATTGACTAATGCATGACAATTCATAATTAGCATTCAATACATCTTTAAGGCTACATAAAATGCAGACTTAATAGAATGGATAATATTTTAAATTGTATAATTTAGTACTTAGAAGCTAAAGAGTTTTACAGGTAATCTAATCCAAAGCCTTTATTTTATACACTAAATAATTTATAGAGAAACTATAAGTAGGTCTTAAACCCAGTTCCTGACTTCAAATTTTGCATGCTTTCTAATCTTCCCTGATGTCTTTTGTTTACCTAATAGTGTGAATGAAGGCACTGAAAGCCCGTTTTGCTTTTGAGGGAGAAGGTGATAAATCATAAGAAATAAGCTAATAGAACACTGAACATGCTAAAAAATAATAAAATCACATAGAAAAATAATAAAATCTCTAATCCAAAGACAAATATGGTCTTTTTAAAAAGGATTTTGACAATTACATACTTTTATTTGGTTTCTTTTTACCTTAGCAGGAGTTTGTTCCATTTTGGCATGGCTCTAATGTAGATAAATATAGCTTTAAAATTACTCAGTTGAAATAATCTCTTCTTCAAAAGACATTATAGAGAGAAGGCAGGGATTTCATCCCTGAAGTGATTTTGGACCTCTGACACATTGTAGCTCTAAATATAAGTTTTTATTGATTCATATTTTGTGGACCAAAAATGGAAATAGTGTGACATATAAATAGTGTGAACTACATCCCCCCTTCACACACACACACACACACACACACACACATACACACACAGGTTTTTAGAATGGCTTTACATCTTTGTCTTAATAGTATTACATTAGGAGATAATTAACTTTAGTAAAATGAACTGAATTTCTTTTCTTAGATTAACACAAAGATGAAAAATTCACAAACTAAATATGTGACCACCTCAATCTATCCTGTGTTAACTATATTTTCTTAAAGTATATTTCTAACTATACAAATTTTGTTATGAAGAAGATAACATTTCCAAGGCCTAAATGCTTGAAATCCTCTTTCATATGTTTTTCTCTCTCCTTGATTTAAAAAAAAAGTAAATGTCTCCAGTGACTTACATCTTCAATTTACTGAAGCTGGGGTTCTGACAGATACCTTATAGCCCACAGCTGTAAAGGATTCCTTGTTTAAAGTAGTAATTTTGTTACAATTGAGCTGCCAATTTTTCTATAAGATTTAAGTATTTCATGCATTTGACTAATATATCTCTACATAAAGAATGCCTCCGGCCTCAAAACTTTGGCTATGTATATGGAGAGCTTATTAGGGAAGAAACCATCTGTCTGGAGAAAGCAGTCAAAATGTGTCTTCTACTTTGTGCAACATCTGAGCAATGCCTTTGTTGTCAGGGTAACCCCAGGGTCTGCAGTCTCTCAAAAGGACTTATTTCATTAGTACTCTAGTTCATTGGCTTCTCTGTCTAATGAGCTAGCCAAAGGGGCAAATGGGAGTTTTATATATTTTTTTTAAATTTTATGTGTTTGTTTTGTTTACAGCCCCTTTGGAGGTAAATAGCTGTATTTTTAGCTTTCCTATTTCTGTTTTCCCCCATCAGACTCCTTTCCACTCCCAGAATCTGTTTGCTTTTCCTGTGTTTTCCACTTTTTGTATTTACCTGATTGATTTTGAACCACTTCATAAATTGTTCACTATATCAAGATTCAGCAGGCTCCTGGCTGGTGTGACTCAGTGGTAGAGCATCAGCCCCTGAACCAAAGGGTTGTGGGTTCTATTCCTGGTCAAGGGTACGTACCTGGGTTGCAGGTCCTTTCCTTGGCCCCGGTCAGGGCACATGTGCGAGGCAACCAGTTGATGTGTCTCTTTCACATTGATGTCTCTCCCTCTCCCTTTCTATTCTCTCCCTTCCACTCTCTCTAAAAATCAATGAAAAAATATCCTCAGTGAGGATCAACAGAAATAAAGATTATTTAAAAAAAGATTTAGCAGGAATTTCTACCTTCTATCCAGTCTATACCAATATAAGTATCCCTTTTATATGGCTTATGCTGTTCACAATCCTGGTCTAACTGTGAGCAATAAAGGGGAGTTATTTCATTCTAATGGAACTCACTATAAGGGTGTTTTCTTAATTTGGCCACAGTGGAACCATCCTGCTATTGTCCTCATGTTGTTCTTTCTTCCCTTGTTCAATCCTGCTTTGTAGTCTTGAAAATCATTGAGCATTCCGTGTCTTTTGAGTCACTGAGGATGAACATCTGGTAACATCTTCACCCTGCTGCCTTTATTCTACAAAAATCATCTTGTCTCTGATGATTCATGACTTTAGGTTGAATTTATTAGGTGTGACCATCCTTCACCCTGTATTCTAACTACTTTAGTTGATATTGGAATGACATTAGAAATTCCTTGACCAAGGATGCAGAGAATAAATGTGTAGACATACCCGTAAATGAGTCTGTTACTTAGTATCTCTTGTGCTTAGCATTGAAAAGTAACATTTTTTTTTAAATTTCTCTAAGCAGTATTCTTTTAAATTTATTAAATAATTTGATCTATTTTTGTAGAATTTATCATTAGTAGAATCTTCAACATACTGCTTACCTGGAAAAGTATCCCTGAGTCAAACTTCGGAATGCTCTATTAACATTAGACGTGTGGGTTCTTAATTGTCAGCAGTTCAGATTTAGCAGTACAGATGGAAAGATAATCAGACTCTTTGAGCATGAGTAAATAAAATGAAAATCCTAAATTAAAAAATAAAGTGAAACTTTGCATTATGTATGTCCTATTTTAGTCAGGATATCATTATGATAAAATGTGTAGAATTACATTGATAAAGGGAAAATAGGTATTTTTCTATGCCTATGCTAGAAAACAAATATATTTTTCTGAATACTAAAGGTTTGTTCTACTGAAGTTAGAAAATGATAAACGTGCTCCCAACAGACTCTAAACAGATTATGATGGCTATTTTTCCATTGTTTCTTAAGCTTATGAACATTATGACTTACACTGACATGCCCATGTCATTTGTTGATATAATTACCTTTAAATGCCCCAAATCAGGGAAAAAAGCAAGGAAACAAACAGTTAATTTGAATGATACTGAAACACATGGAAACAATTTTGTGATTTGGCTGAGAGAAATCTTTATATTCCATTCATCTATGTAATTTTTACATCATTTCTAGAGTATGTCTGCAGAGTGTTTTTTATTTAACTTCAGTTAGCTGTGATATATTGCTTGATAGATGGATAGTATTTTATTGTTAGAGTGCAGATATAAGGTAGGGTGAAATTTCATAATTTTAGTTTTTAAGCCACTAGGTGAAAAGACTGATAATAAAGGTCATTAGAAATTGCTGGGGTTCTGTGTTTAGGTCAAGCCATATTTTTCTTCCTTGTGATCCCATTAATCACACAGCAGATAGTGATCTGCAATTTCTGTTTCTTATTATCTCATGTGTTTTGTTTTTTTATTTTTTTGTGAAGCTCAGTTTCTTCTCTTTTAATCTGTATACTTCTTAATAAAATGTGTTCACTAGTAAACTGCTTGAGAAATTTTCATGTTTCAAAACCCCATACTTTCACTGGTTTCCAACTCCTAATGATGTTTTACACATTGCCTACATGCCTAGTTATAATCACCTTTAAATAATTGTTCCCATTCTTGATATAATGCTCCTGTGAATCTTTTCTCACTTTTGGTTATGCACATTAAAGATGACCATGTAAAATTAATTACTACACTACTTCCTGCTCAAAGTGATCAAGTTAATTGAAGGGCACAGAGCATACATTATTTTCCTTACTGTCTGCTCCCAATGACTTCTCCTACCTTTGTCTCACAATAATTCAGTAATATAATATTAAGCAGAAAATCCAAGCTAGCATATTTAATAGAAATGACAGAGATTGTAACTTTCCTCAAAAGATGTTTAAATGCAATATCTTTCTAAGTGTGCTTATCTATACTAATTTTTTTTCAATTTTTAAATCAAATTATATATGGTGAGGATGCAGGGCAACTGGAACTTCTTGAAATTCCTGAAAATAGCATATTGGTGAAAAGTTTTTGAAAAAATTTCTAACAGTATCCATTCAACCTGAACATACTTATATCTTAGACTCAACATATCTATTTCTGGCTAGATACTCAATAGAAATGAGTGCTCGTGTCCACCAAAAGACATATACAAGAATAGTATTCAGAACTTTAGTTATAATGCCCTAAAACTGTAAATAAGTCAAATGGAAATCATTAGTAAAGTAGTAAACAAATTGTGCTATGTTCATAAAAAATAAATTCAAAAAGTATTAATAACTGGCATGCAAAATAATATGGATGAATTTCACAGACATGATATTGATTTAAAAAGTTATGAATAGTGGTGTATGATTCTATTTATGTGCATTTGCATAAGCTAATCTATTAGACCATATCAGAATATGGTCTAATACTGACTGGACCTTTATAATATAACTAGTAGCCCTGAACACGAATCTGTGCAACAGTAGCTCTCTGCAGGGCCTGGCCACTCCACGCCCACTGCCTAGAAGCTCTCCGCGGCCCAGAGGCCCATCCGCAGCTTGGTATGGAATGCTTGCCTCATCACTGGGGTGACAACGCAAGTGTTCCCTGCCCCCCAACCCCAGCCGCTCTGTGCCCTCTGTCCAGAGGCCCTCCATGGCTGGGGTGGAACGCTTGCCTCATCACCGCGGCGACAAAGCAAACATTCTGCCAGGCCGCTCACGCTGCCCACTCTCAGCAGCTGCCCACCCCCCCACCTGGGGGACTCCAACAGGGCTGAGAGGACTGGGTGCCACCATCTTGTGGCTATGGGTGCTGCCATCTGTGTGATGGAGTGATGGTTAATATGCATATTGCCCTTTTATTAGATAGGATTTTTACACACCAATGTATAACAGAAAAATTTACCAAGTTGTTTTTTGAATATACAATTTTCTTTGTCATTTTGTCTTCTTGTAGTGTCCTGAATTTAAAAGGCCCAGAGACATTGCAGTTGACTGGGTAGCAGGAAATATTTATTGGACTGATCATTCTAGAATGCACTGGTTTAGTTACTACACCACCCACTGGACCAGTCTGAGGTATTCTATCAACGTGGGGCAGCTGAATGGCCCCAACTGCACCAGACTTTTAACAAATATGGCTGGAGAACCCTATGCTATTGCTGTGAATCCTAAGAGAAGGTAAGCTAATGACTTGGTTATTTATATTTCATGATATGAGCATCCATTTTTAGAGATTGTTCAGCTTGTGCTCTGTAGGTTTGTTTCTGTAATGTGTTCAAAGATAATAGGTTCACAAGGCTTCTGAAAATCCCTCTCTTTTTCTTGTACAAAAGTACACTCATGTTATTTTTACATCAAATTTAGGAGCAAATGTTTATTTTTTCCTGAAAGGTTAAAAAAATATACATTCTCTGTGTGTGTATTTTATGTTGCATTTCAGAATAATGAAACTAATGTGATAAACACATAACCACTATAGTGAATCTAATACTGAATTTTTGTAACATTAAATATAATGCTTTTGTGTGTGTGTGTGTTTTATTTTTGTTTATTGTTGCAAGTATTACAGATTTCTCCCTTTTTCCCCATTGATCCTCTTCTCCCCACTTCCCTGCCCTCCACAGGCCTTCACTGCACTATTGTCTATGTCCATGGGTTATGCATACATGCATATAAGTTCTTTGGTTAATCTCTTCCCGCCCACCTCCCACTTCCCTATAAGAATCATCTGTCTGTCACATGTTCTCATGTCTCTGGGTCTATTTTATTTGGCAGTTTATTCTGTTCATTAGATTCTACATATAAGTGAAATCATGTGGTACTTGTCTTTCTTTGACTGGTTTACTTCGCTTAGCATTATACTCTCCAGGTCCTTCAATGTTGTTTCAAATAGTAAAAGGTCCTTTTTTATTGGACTGATCATTCTAGAATGCACTGTCTAGAATGTATAGTATTCCATTGTGCAAATGTACCACAACTTTTTTATACTTTCATCTACAGATGGGCACTTGGGCTATTTTCAGATCTTAGCTATTGTAAATAGCGCTGCTATGAATATAATATAATATTAAACATATTGAATGTAGAGTATTTTCATGTTTTTGCTATTTGTGATAATAAAAGATGAAGACATATTATGTATAAACAAATTTAAACAATTTAAATTTCTTTTACTGGAATTTTTTCATTCTTTACTCTTTTTCATTTATAAGCAATGACCAAAAAGTAAGTAGGGAAATCTTAGGTAAAAATCCTGATCGCCCATAAAGTGGATCATTGGATGCTGAGTAAAAAGAATTAAATGTTATTTACTTAGCAAAATTAGGTTGTGTGGTGTCTTCTAAATAGAGAATGATATCCTTCTGAGAAAGTACTTAAAAAAATGAAGCATATTGATGCAGCATCAGTAATAAAATGAATATTCCTTCTCAACAAGAGGATAGATTTAAGTATTAAAATACTTTTCTTCTAAAATGTTCATGAAGTTTTCAAAATTGAACTATTAATATCAAGTAATAAACAGTAGTGCACATTATTAAGCATGCCTCTCAAATTTTAGAGCATAGTTAGACCATTTAAAAGTTTGATTTCTGGAAGGTTTCTTTTTTGTAGCTTTAGAGTTGGGTCCAGAAATCTGCTTTTTCAGGGTCTCTGGGGTGTTTCTGATGTTCATGATCTGAAGAAACACTATGTTTTACAGTAGAATTGGGTTATAACAGCACATCACCTGGCTGACCAACTTGACCAATGTTTTCAGGATGATGTATTGGACTGTTGTTGGGGACCATTCCCATATAGAAGAAGCAGCCATGGATGGCACTCTGAGAAGAATTTTAGTACAAAAGAATTTACAGAGACCCACAGGTATGATGTATTTCTGACATAGTCTAAAATTGTATCAGAATTCTAAGCATATTAGTGTTACAATTCTTTAGTTTTGTTGGCAATATAATCATTTTTACAAGCAAATAAAATAATTTATAGTATGACATTATGAAAGTCATTAACATTTCATGTTGTATTTTTCCATCTAAAAGTCAGGTTCTTATCATATTGCCAGTGATATTATGGGGATATTATTTGAAAATTGCCTTAAGTTTTAAGGCCATTAGTAAGATTTCAGATGAATGAAATTTTGACAGTTTATAGGAATGTATCAGGATATTTTTACATATACTGTAAATGTTAATGATGTTGTGGTAGATGGTAGTATTACTAGAAAATGAGAAACTAAATGGATAAAGAACTAGGAAAACAGATAATATTAGTGAAAGACAAGTTTGATGATGCCTTGCTCTTTTATTCTCAGCTTTCAATCTGATCTGGCTTTAATCTGTCTCCTAGTTATGTTGTCTACTCTACAATGTCATCTACACAGCCATGTCACCTACACTACAATGTCATCTACACTGATCATGTCATCTACACTGCCATGTCATTGACACTACCATGTCATTGACACTACCATGTCATCTACACTACCATGTCGTCTACACTACCATGTCATCTACACTACCATGTTGTCTACACTACCATGTCATCTACACTACCATGTCGTCTACACTACCATGTCATCTACACTACCATGTCATCTACATTACCACTCCACAGACTCCGTACCCCCAGGACTGCTCAGGAGTTCAGGCTTTTGTGTGTGTGTGTGTGTGTGTGTGTGTGTGTGTGTGTGTGTGCCCCTCCTTGTTCTTTCTCTCACTCCATTTTTATCCCAGCCTTCCACCTAGACTTCCCTTCCAACTTCTGTATATTGGCTATACCTTACCCATCTTGTAAGGTCTAACTTAAGCACTTCTTCCTCAATAAAACATTTTAGACTACTGGAGTCCAGGGGATTTTGTGTCACCTACACCTGCCTACTACATTCCCATCAAAAGGATAGAATACACTTTCTATAGCACATATTATTTAACAGTTATGCTTTGTAATAGCTTTTGTAGTTGAAATTTTATATTTGACACTTATATTCTTATTAACTTTTAATGTGCCTTATGCCTTTTCCTCCAACTACATTGTTTTTACTCTTTACGGGAATGAGCAGTCTTTGGGATTTAGTTCATTTATGTAAGTGTGTCTCCATTCAGTGATTTAACAAGTACTAATTGAACACCCACCTGGTGCCGGAAATTGTTCCAGATGCTAAAGAAATAAGAGCCTACCCTTGTGAAAAGAGTCTGATTCCCATGAAACATACCTTCCTGTAGAGAAGAGAATAGATATTATGCTTCATGTCAGATAGTTATAAGTGCTATATAGAAAAAACATACTAAGGATGGGTAGTTATGGAAATACCATTTTAGTTAGAGAAGATATCTCTAGAAAGATAATATTTGAAAATATCACAATAAATCATAATGGCAAGTCACATGTGTATGTGAGGAAAGAGCGTTCTAAGCAGAGGGAACAGCAAGTTCTGAGTTAGGAATGAGCTTAGCATGTGTCAAAGAGTAGCAAATATGTTCGTATGCCTAGAAGCATATGAAAGTGGTAGAGATGAGAGTTGCCATGTGGCCAGAGGCAGATCATCTATCCTGGGACACACAGATAAGCCCTGGATTCTGTTCTAGCTCTAAGGGGAGCCATTGGAGAGTATACTAAGGAGGAGAGTGGCATATCTGCTCAAATACCATTTTCATCGTTTATAGACCTTTTACTTTTTTCTTAACTTACTATTTTTCACTAATTTTAGACTTATAAACAGGTTGCAAAATTACTTCAGAAGTTATCTGATGTTAACATTTACATACTCACAGTATATGTAATATTTTCATTTTAAGGAATGATGTGGCAGCAGTTTATAGAAGGGCACATAGGAGGGTGCTTTGAAGGGAGCCTGAGATAGGAATTCTTGCAAAGGTTACTTATGAAGGGAGTGTAATTCAGGAGAAACCTGTAAAGGGTGGAGAAAGGGAAAGAGCCCAGAAAGACTGTGCGTCAGGTAAAGTCTAGTCTCAGCTTGAGCCGCAGGGGATGTGCTTCGGCATAAATTCCATGACAGGCAAGGGGAAGGGGTCATCTTTTCATATTTCCCAGAGTCATTGCTTGGCCTTTGGGCCCTAACTGCTCAAGCAGGCTGCTGCAGGCAGCAGAGCACAGCTCCCTAGCAGTCAGTCCTTAGCTGCTAAAGCAGCAACTGGGAGATGGGTAGCCTGCCTAGTCATGGAAATTTGAGCTGGGTCCCAGTGTCCTACAGTGGGCTAAATGAAGGTGCATGTATTGACCATCTTCCATGTGCTAACCATTCTGCTCAACACTATGGAGAAATTAATGATGCACTTGGCACAGTCCCTCTTCTCGAGGAGTTTACATTTGAAAAGAAACAAAACTGAGGCATGAACAAAAGTAACTACAGTTTGGGCAAAATATTAGAATTGTTACATACCTGGTAATATTATGGAAGTTCAGAGTCAAGAAAGATTCACTCCAGTGATCAACAAACAAAAAGCAAAACAAACCAACAAACAAAAATATGTGAACGGTTTCTCTTGAAATAGTGTTTAAAGAATGGATAGACATTCGAAAAGTGGGCAGATAATCCAAACAAACAAAAATATGTGAACGGTTTCTCTTGAAGAATGGATAGACATTCGAAAAGTGGGCAGATAATCCATCGTGGTGTAGTGTTTATAAAGGTTTTCTTTGGAGTCAGATACGTCTATTTGTTTATTTAATTCTGGGGGATCACTTATTAGCTATGAGATCTCAGAAATGAACTTATAATCTTCAGAGTTTTATTTGATCATTAACAAACCAAGGGGTAATAATAATTAACTTAAAATATTACTGATTGTGTGAAATGGCATAGCACTCTGAACCAGGGGCTGCAATGTGGAACGCGTGGCATGTTTCATGATGGTAGGAGCCCGGGTGCACCTGGAAGGGGGCAGATTAGGTGCAGTAACATAAGCTGAGAATAGAGGACTTTAACTGCTAAGGTGTTTAGACATGATTTATTTAGTCAATAATGAACCTCTGTATAGTTCTGATTCGAAGTGTGATGTGAATAACGTAGGGTATGTTGCGGTGGTAGCACTGTGCCAGTGGAATGAATAGATACAGAAACGAAAAGACTAGTTAACAGTCCATTGAACTGTCTCACTGAGAGTGGAGAATAGCACAACTAGAACAGTAATAGTGAATACACACAAGATGTATGTGGGAGACAGAGTAGAATTAGAGTAGTGGAATTTATTGAATGCATATGAGAATAGAGGGATAGGAACTATCTCCAATAAATTAGAGTTATTCATACAAGTATCTTCATTCATCTCTCCTTTCATTCAAAAAATATTGTCGCTCACTTTACGGCAGGCACTGCTAGTCATCTGAAATATGGATCCCTGCACGCCTGGACATTATAGTCTAATGTGGGGTGACTCTAAACAAAAACCAACAATGTGTGTGTGAGCGCACACATGCACATGTGGCAAATGGCTCTTATAGACAAGAGTGGGGTGCTGCAGAGGTGTCCCTTTGATTATAGTGGGGAGGAGAGGCTTTTTGAGGCTAGTTGATTGTTAAGAATAATTGCTAGATGATGTGAAAAGGTGGGTGTAAAATGTTGTCACAACACAGTAAAGAAGAGGTCAGACAGTCCTGAGGTAGAAAATGGAATTGAAAGAAAGCCAAAGAGCATAATAAACAAATTGGAAAGTGGCATGAGATAAGACTTAGGGAGATGCATAGGGGCCAGTCCATGCAGGGTCTTAGAGACCATGAAAAGTACCATTGACTCATGTTAAGCAGGTAACAAGACCTGTTCAGTCATCCATAAGGCCATGCCAAGAAGGGAGTTGGTGTAAGGCTCCCTACTCCTTTTCTAGTGGGCATATATGAGTTTTCTTCTCAGCAACTCTGCTCTGAAACTCTGCCCCACATACAGGAGTAGACTCTTAGATGCTTTTTATTTACTATTTCAACTAATAGTTATTGTATGCCTAACCTATGTCAGGCATAATTCTAGTCACTTAGAATATAGGAGTGAATACACAGTTGTCACTCCCTGTCCTCACAGTGTTTGCATTCTAGTAGAGGGCAAGGGCTGAGATGCCAACAGTAAAAAATATTTTTAAAGTTGGATAAGCTATTTAAATTAGGATATATGTCGTTTTTATGTAAGATAAAACTAAATATTATGGAAAAGTCCTTTAGAAAATAGCCATAACTATCCAGCTAGCATGACTCAGTGGCTGAGCATCGCCCTATGAACCAGGAGGTCACTCTTTGATTCCTGATCAGGGCATACGCCGGGGTTTCAGGCTCGATCCCCAGTGTAGGGCGTGCAGGAGGCAGCTGATCAATGATTTTCTCTCATCATTGATGTTCTAGCTCTCTCCCCCTCTCCCTTCCTCTCTGAAGTCAATAAAAATATTTTTAAAAATTAGCCATAACAAATAAATCAGTTAAGTGTGGAAAGGAAGGATACTTAGAGTAGCTTTTCCTATGTGAAATAAGATTTTTGCTCCAGCTTATTAAATAAATTCCATGTAATCTATACACATGTACAATATAGACTATGTAATTTCTGTGATGCTTGAAGAGAAACATCAATAATATTTATACATTAAGACGCAAAAACATAATTTAAATAATATGAATGTATTTGTTATTCGCCTGTGTGTGTTGGTTTTGCAGGGCTGGCTGTGGATCATTTCAGTGAACGGATATACTGGGCTGACCTTGAGCTCTCCCTCATTGGCAGCGTTCTGTATGACGGCTCGGATTCCGTGGTCTCCGTCAGCAGCAGACAAGGTTTGCGAAGTGCTTTCGTGATTTCTTTTAATTATTTTGAGAGAATTAAATAATGGTATGTAAATATAAGTATGAAAGCTTTCTATTTTGGATTTTCTCAAATTCTTTCTTCTTTCAACTTTTAGCTCTTACTATTGATTATAATTTTCATTCTTACTAGAATAACAAAGATGCCAAACCACAAAAACTTCTTGAATCTAGGACAAAAATGGTCCATCACTACCTAGATTCAGAAAATAATAATTTAGTTGCTGCTGACGATATCTAATTCTAAGCAGAACATTTCAAGCAGTAAAGATTAGCATCTGTGAAAACTAATTTTTATTTCAAATTGCAGTGATAACAAGCAGAAAAGAAGTCACTGCATATAACAAAATATGATAAAATTATTATTATTATTATTATTATTATTATTAT